CTGAGTGAATGAGAGCAAAATCTGTTTAGAAAACAGAGAGGAAGAGGCTAAGGACAGTTCATAGGAGGGATGACAGAGAAACTCAGAGGAACCTGGTAGCCATCTTCAATATTGAAAGGATTACCAGGCTAAAGTAGCTTTTATGATTGCTTTGCATGGACCTTAGGGATAGAATTTAAACCTCTATGTATATGAAAGTTTCAGGGAAGCATTACTGTATGAAATAATTTTCCAAGAAAAATGACTAAAGATAGACTGCACTTGCTCAGAAGGTAATCTGTTTTCCATTATTTTAATTATTCAGTTATAGGTTTTATAATTTCATAGTCTATTACCAAAAATAATCAAATGTAAAACTTATAACTTAATGACTTTCTTTTTTTTTTTTCCCTTCTGATCGTTAGTTGAATAATCTGTGCAGGTAGAGTAAGTACCAAGAGAACAATTGAGTGACTCGAAACAGATAACCTATCAATAGATCATTGTCATGCCAGACTTTCTGTGAGAATTTCCCTCTCCTTGACCTTATCCAAGTGTATAAAAGATGAGTTGAAAAGTGCACCTCTTTTCTCTAGTTTAAAGTGTCAACAAATGATATGGTTGGGATAACTTTAAAAATCAAGAATCTCATGTCTTCAAAGTGAAATTTAGGAAACATCTTCTATTACCGGGACCAGCAGGTGGTGTGGTGTTAAGGTGCTGGACACTCCCATATGAATGACCACGGTTCAAGTCCCAAACCTGGGGCTTGCTTTCTCATATTCCCTCCACCTCCCCCATGTGTCTCTCTGGTCAGATTAAAATAAATGAGTGAATTAATAAAATTAAAGAAATAATTCTTTAAAAAAAGAAAATATTTTCTATTACCATAGATTATTCTGAGCTATTCCTACTAAATTGAGAAAGTATTTCTATATGTGAATGTGTTGGGACATCATCAGACTGGTGGCTTTTTTTTGGCTTTGGGTTTTTTTTTTAACTATATTTATTTACTTATTTTAATTAGATCTGAGATAGACAGAGAGAAAATGAGAAAGAAATCTACCAGTTCTGGGACTCGAACCACGGTTGACAATGTGCGAGTCCAGCACCCTTAACCACCACACCACCTGCCGGCCCCATAGGCTGTTGGTTTTAAGAAGACATGTTAATGTTTGTAAGAAACCATTGATTTTCCAATTGTGGTATTAATATGACTTTGAATTTAAAATATGCCCTTTTTAACTTAACATGAGCATGAAACCAAGTTATAATCACCAATGTGTTTACCATTTGTAAATAGAAATGCATGAAAATATAGACTATTGCCTCATCCCATATTTGCATTTATCTGTATCTGCATATTTGTCTTTATTGAAGGAATGAACAAATGGAAACTTATTTGCGCAATAACCTCAAACGTGTCACTTCACCTCTCTGAGCATCTATCTGAAAACTGAAGGGACTGGATCAGAAATCTCCCAAGTATTTTCTATCTTTAAATGACGAAGCATGTCCAATTGGTATTACATTAAGCCCTAGGAGGCTCAAGAAATACTCAAAAATAAACGCAATTAAAATAGTAAATGTTTTTATAATCCTCTGTGGCTTGCAAGTCATGTCCTCTGAGCAAGTCGGAATGCTTGAGCCCCCAATATTACTTACCACCCACCTCTCTGCAGACAGTTTCCAGATCTTCCTCTCCTGCCCTGACCTTTTCTATTCTCCCCAGTCACAGATTTCTTTCTGTTTATGGAACATCTTTACTTAGATGTTCTGCCATCACCTAAATCTAAACATGGGAAGGAAAAAGAGAGAGAGAATTCATGGTCTCCCCTCAGCTCATCTATTCTGTTTTTCCTCATTCTGGTTTTCTAGGGAATGATCCTGCGCCTCACCTCCCCATTCCCATTCATCCACCCTCTCCTGGCTGGTCCCAGTTCTGCTGATTACTACACAATGTTTCTCATTTCTCTACTTTTGAATTTCAACATTTTCAGCCTGGTCCAAACCCCATACATCCAGAGTCTTTTAAGAATCTCCTGGCAAGCCTACCAATCTGTGATCTTTCCTTATTTTTATGGACCCTACGAAGAGCTTTAGAACAATTTTATTCAAATGGCTTTTAAGCAGCAAGAAAACTTTCCTAAGTCTAATTTAGCAGCTGGTATGTGCCTTTAGGATGGGATTTATTTTTACATGTAAATTTCAAATGAAATATTTACTTATGTAAGTTGTGTCTCAAATTAAATTAAGAGCTGGTTTAGCATTGGAAGCAGATTCTTTCTTTCTTATTTATATAGATTTCATTGAATAGCTACTTGTGTGAAACACTCTAACAAACTCTCTTACAACTATAAACACAGATCAAGTATGACTCTTTTCCTTAGGGAGAGTATTTCTACTTAAGTAAAGGAAACTAAGATTTGTTGAGTATATTTAGGCACTGAGTTTAAGTCATGATATAAATGATCTTAGGGTTTCTTGAGAACACTGTACAATGGAGTAATTATCCTCATTTAACAGATGAGGATAAGAAGATTAAAAGTGGTTAAATAGCTTACTCCTCTGCTTCTGAAGCCCTAGTTTTTATTCCACTGGCCTATGCTATATTTAATGGTTCTTAAATTAATGACATTTCCAGATTAAGGCTGATATTATAAAACTTAGTGATTTTCTAAGTAGTTATATATGAGCCCAACTGATTAATATGCATCTTTTTTTTTATAAATAAGTGATCCTGTTGTTACTGACATGAAAGATTTATTATTGAGATTATGGACATTATCATACACAGTATTTCATATTCCATAATATATAAGAGAATCTATATGTGAACAATGTTATAAAATGAAACTATGTTATATTTGGATCTCAAAAATTCATTGTACATTTTATTAGTTAAATAATGCATGCTACTTTAAAAAAGAATATAGAATATTACCATTCTATTCTATTAATTATTTTATATTTTCTGCCTTTTTATAAGCTTTGGTAGAAATATTTTAGGATGCTTATTTCTCCAACTAAACAGGACTGATTTTATTTTTTTTTTCCTTTTAAGACCACACACCACATAAAATGGATTTGTGTCTGGAATGGTTTTTGTCAACACACTTCAAAAGAACATATCAGATAATTTCCATGATAACCATGGCCTAAAATCTTTATCAGGTTTAGATTTATGTAAATACTAAAGATAAACATATTTTTCCTTGCCTGCCAATTGATTGCCTTTCAAGATTACTTTAATAAATACATACAGTATATGGCAAAGTTCTTTAGTTTCTTTGTTTGGAATAAAATTACCGCCTCATTTGGTGTCAAATTTTTTAAATTTGACATAGAAATGTTCAAGTTATGTTTAGTCAATATTTGAAATATATATGCATATGTCTGAACAATCTCATCAGAAAATATCATTGAAATGACTTAATCTGAACATAAGGCCCTCCTTTTCAAAAGATGAATAACATGGAGACAATAAAGAGGATGAAGTTAATGACAAAGAAGTAGGAAAAGAAAGTGATAGGAGGTAGAGAATGAGGGGAAAGAAAAACAAAAAAAAAGAAAAAAATATAATGATAACATTTCTGGAATTCTATATGGACCATTATTGACAGAAGCTTCTATAGTTCCTCCATTCCTTATTCCTGCACTATGAAAGAAACCTGAGACCTTTCTTCTTAGCCTTGGGTCACTGTGGAGAGTTAAGTTGTCTCTATCAAGCTCTAAAGAGTAACTAGGTTCAGTATGGCTTTAGAGGTTGACTTCTGTGTAATAGTCAAAGACATGGGATTTTTCTGACACCAGAGATTGCTAATGATCAGATCCATCAGATTATAGTGCAGTGGAGGAAAATACTCTCAAATGGTTACGGTTCCCTAAACAGGGTCTGCTGACTGATCAATGGACAACTTCAGTCTCCAGTGTAACAGTCCTTTGCTTTTCAGAAACATGAAGTTCAACTGGGGGAAAAACAAACAAACAAACAAACAAAAAACTATACTAAGATAAAAAGATACCTGCCTGTCCCCTTTGTATCCGTTCTAGTCTAGCTGCCATTATCTATGATTCTTGATGATCTATCCCTTCTGTAGCTTGTCAGTTAAAAGTACTCACCAAGACAAAATCTGCAATAATGTGTTTAGCATGTTTAATAGAGTCTGGTTAAGTAAACATCCTCAACAAAAGAAGCAAAAGAGAGCTTAAAATAAACAGAGCTACTGTGCCAAATTCATAATTACTTACACATTTAGCACTGTGCCCATCTTCTAAGCATGGTCATTAAAACCAGATTTGTGTACTTAATATAATTGTCTTGAAACCATAACTGTTCAAATACTATAGCCATTTGCATACTTGAGCCTTTTCCCCCTTCTCTTTTCTCCTACAGCTTTATAAAACCTGGAATTTATTACACAAAACTTATTTCAAGGTAGATAGTGATAACACCACTTACAACAGGCCAGACTTGCAAATTTTTGTCAGAAAATTAGTAGGTCTTGTAGAGTCAGCTGTTCCTTGGGGAGATATATGCTTAGTAAGATTTGTCTAGTCAAGTACTCTTTGGGAATGTAGAAGTTTCATATCCCAAACTAGAAGAATAGCATGGTTACTTTCTTAACAGACTAGTTAAAATAATAATCTTCCCAAATATGTACTTATTAAAGTAATATGTGATATTAGAAAAATATATGAGCTTTAAAGAAAGTTCTGGAAATGTCATCTACCCTCACTGGCCCTCGATTTCTGGTCCAGCAATTTCTGATGGTGGTAGTGAGAAATGTAACTACAATGGAAGACAATTTTTTAAATTTTTTGAGACGATGATAATAAAATTGAGTGACTGGCATTTATACTCAGTGTTATCTTGTGTTAATTGTTTAAATATACTAGCATATAATTTCTCTTATTACATTTTCTATGTTGTCCATATTCATGCAAGTAAGTTTCTGATTTTCAAATATTTCTCCCAGAAGGATCTAGAAATATATATTCTTGTGTAAACTTCAGTGGTTTGTTCTTGTCCCAGTACGAGTACTTTGAGTTAAGACATTCCATTGATGGAATGGATGATTGACGTAAAATGAACACAGAATGTGAGCGGCTGTCCTCATGGGTCAGTGTTGGGTTCTATTTTGTTTAACAACATCATTAGCGAACTGAGAAGAGGAAGTAAGTTGCATGAGAAGTACATCTGCAGACGATAAATGAAGATGAACTTCAAATTCCTAAGAGAGGAGAATATAAATAGAGTCTCAGAAGGTTGCTGAAATTGGTAGCAATGAGTAGAAAGAAATGCAGACCTAAATAACAACCTTCCATATAAGCACAAGAATGTTTTAATAACGTGAGACCCAGAAAGAGGGAAAAGCTAAGCTAACAAATAAACAGTACAATTTGCCAAGGGCACTAAAGCCCAAAAGAACATAGGATTCCGTGATGATAAGTGCAATCTAAATTTCTCTTTAGTCATTTCATCTACTCTACTGAATTCAGATCCTTAAGATTTTTCCCCTGGAATTTCTTGCATCTAACAATGAAATGGAAGAGAGTGTGGTCTAACATAGTGTTGAGACCAGGGCTCAGCTCTGAGGCTGAGCATTGATACCATGTGGCCTTGGAGATGGAGCTTACCTTCTCTGACTCTCATGTTCTGCTTCTGTAGAATAAAGAAAATTATTAGGTCATGAGAAAAGTCATGACATATTTTCTCTATGCAGAAATGTGTCAAGACTTTGCCAACAATCCAATGTATTGCATACCTATGATTGTTCTGAGAGGAAAATGAGCCTGGCACTAGAATGTAAATTCCATGACTTCGGAAACTGTGGTTTACTCCGAGTTGTGTCTCCAGTCCATATCATGATGCTCTGTACATGGTAAGAAGTGAAGAAAAAGATTTTAGAAGAATGTTTGAATTAGAGGGTTGTTCTGAAGTTATATAATTTCTATATATTTCTCTCATTTTACTTGCTCCCTTTTTAGGAAACAAGCATTATTTTTATTCCTGGAGGCTAGAGCTTTGTCATTCAGTTGGGGTTTCTCAGCCAATACAGGATAATATGTGGAGTTGTACAATTGTGGAATTGTAGACACAATCTCAGTTCTATTGAATTGCAAGTTGCATTTACTGTCTTTTGATAATTCTTAAACACATTACATTTTGAGAAGCACATGCCTGTTCCCATTAATTTCTCTATAAACCATAGCAGAGATCTGAATTAAATACCTCCCACTTTGCATATTTTAAATACTTAATATTATACATGTTTATCAATAATGTTTTATTTGTTTGATTTTACATTTGCTAGAGGGAGTGTGCACTCAAGGGAGAGAGAGACAGAGTGAGAGAGGGAAAGTAAAAAAGTACCCCCTACCGTGAGGCATGGTCGCACTATAATCCCTTCACCTCCATTTCTCCTTCCTTTTGGGATTTGGGGCACACACACACATACACACACACACACACACACACACACTCACCTGGCATGTTTTATAAGCCACAGGATTTGACACTTAATCACCAGGTCATGGGCTGGTCCCAATGATATATATTTTTTTAAGTATACAATCCAATGACAAATTTACTGACAAATTTACCTACACCACAAACTAAATTAGAACACTTTCATCACTCCATAAAGAGCCTCTGTGCCTATTTGCTTAATTTCTTACTGTCTCCCCATGCCCATGCACTATTATTTTAATATCCACCACCACCATTTCCCACTTTTAGACAGAGAATTATAAAAGGGCAAACAAATATATGTCATTCATTCACACTTCACTAAGTAAAAGTAATTCCTGAATGAGTTTCACTGTGGTTTAGATAATCACTGACCATTTCTAAGTGGATTTGCTAAGCAACTTAATGTTCAAATATGATTCAAGGTGGATGTTTTCCCCTTTCAGGGAGCAAAACATTTTCAAATAATTTATATTCTAAACTTATTAAACACATATTTACAAGCAAACATTACCAGTGTAGTTAAATAAAAGTCATACGAGTCTAGTCTTTTTCTTTAATTTACTAGTTGCAAAGCATTGCTATTTAAGCAGGGCCAGGCCTAGGCCAGCTTATATTTTTAAACTTAGTTAAGTTGCTATTTGAAGCTTTGCTTTTGTAAAAGTTTGCCTTAGCTGAGCTTTGCTTTCTTTGGGAAAAGTTTCTTTAGTCATTTAGTCTCCTCTACTGAATTCAGGTCCTACAGATCTTTCCCCTGGAATTCCTGACTAGGCTAATAAATAATTTCATTCGCCCCAATAGCTCTGGCCCTATCCTTGGCACTCCCACCTCCCAACCCCAAGAGGAGGTATTTCAAATGATCTGCTTTAAAATCTTCCATGATTTCAAATTGTGCAGGTTATGAAGTCCAGAATCCCCAGCACATATCCAGTCCAGACTACTTTTCCTCTCTCTTACATGCCACTCACACATTCCCACGTGGCCTATTGGATATGCTACTCTTCTTGCTGTTCTTGAAACTTGCCAAGCACATCACATATCCTTCTCTTTGCTCAGGTTATTCTCTCTGTGTGGAATGCTAGCTCTGCTTGTCTCTATTTTGATATTAAAATCTTATTTAGACGTCAGCTCAAACATTTCTATGACTACTTTTCTGAAATCCATACTTATCCTCAATCAGAATTGCTGTTTTTTCAATTTGTGGTCACTATACATACACGCATACACACACACACACACACACACGCACACACACAATATTTTAAAAAGACAATCTTGCTATGTCACAATCATCCCGGCTCTGCCTCTCAAGTAGCCAGAACTACAGGTCTTCACTACTGTGCCTCGCTTTCACAGTGACCTTACACACCACCTCAGCCTACTGAGTAACAGCATTGACCCACATGTGTTACCATGGCTGGGCCTAATGTGGTATTTTTAGACTCAAATTTAGTAAATAGAAGGATTAGAACTTTGCTGTAATTAATTGTGTGTTCCTGCCACATTTCCCAGTATCTAGAACATATATAAATTTATGAATGGACAAGGGAATCTATGAAATCTGTCCTTTGAAGATGATTGAACCTGAAATAGCTAACATCTGGATTTTGGGCACATGTGCACCTGGCATGATTTTCAAACTGGGTTTCCAGACTTGAACTGTGGTCACCCATGCGGGAGTCTTGTACCTTAACCATTCTACCACCTGCTGGCCTCCTCCTGGCCATCTTTATCACTCCTTTAATGATTGATTCTGCAGTGCCTGCTCTCCTCTTGTGGTTACATTGGGTTATATCCCCATTTCAAGATCCTTAACTTAATCACGTTTGCAAGGTCTTTTCACCATTAAGGTAACCTTTTACCAACTCTGATGTTTAGGATGTGAACATTGTTAGGGGGCCATTATTTAACCTACCATAGAGACCAAAAATATGGGAAATATTAGTTTAAATGTTAGATAGACAAGAGTAAGTAGGCATGAACTCTACCCTCAAGGTGCTCAAAGTATTATGAGGAATCAGCCACATAAACCAAACATGACAGTGACTGTGACAGGGTGTCAGAGTGCTTAATTCAGCCAGAGGGTATAGCAGAGAGTTCTACCAACATTCACTTGTACTTACACTACTATTAGCACCCTATAAAATTTTTTTTCACTAATTTTCTATGGATAAAATACTACACTAAATGTTTATTTAGATCATTCTTATTTTTGTGAAGTTCCTCCTCCCCCAAAACAAGTATGACCTTAGGAACTAAAGTGCTTTCAAGATTTCTTTCCCTCTATACTGATGTTAAAATTTTAAATTCTAAAACAAAACTTAACAAAACCCTACCACAAACCCATTTGATACATTCCATAAGTAAAATTCTAACCAAGACGTTGATTCATATGTAGGTCACAGCTTTGCTGGTTATGTTAAAGCCCATGACAAATTATTTTTTCAGGAATGAAATATTACCTGGTTATGGACACAGCCATGTGGGTATGTTTTTTTCTTAACTCTTTATTGCTTTTACTTTTATTAAATCATAACAATCAGTGTCCTAAACCAAAAGATCTGTGACAATCTGCATTTCAAAAGTAATATTAGTCTATAGAAAGCATTTTCACTCTGTAAAAGCAGTGAAGGTCCTTTGACCACACTCCCACATTCCAGAATTTTCTACCTCATCAAGACAAAAGCAATCCAAAAAAAAAAAAAAAAAAAAAACAATGAACTGGTTGCTGGATATCCAGCAGAGTTGATTCTTTCTGCCCTTTTGGAATTTAGCAATAGGGTTTTGTACTTTCTTTAAGCTCCCATTGGCTCTGGGGGGAAAGGACAAATAATTAACCCTGGAGTAAGAAGCATTTCACTGCAGACTCTTCCTGCTGGGTTAACAAACATCTCTCAGAAAGAGAGCTCCTTGGGGGTGTCTCGCTCAGTGTCATTATTGATTAGTGACACCCATTCTCTTAGGAAAGCCTTTGGAAAGTTAAGCTTCAAGGGGGTTTGATAATTAGGGATGAAGTTTTTAGTTGCTTTTTGTCCAAATTTGTTAACTGAACTGTTAAGTGATGAGATGCTGATTAGAGAGCCTCCCTGGGAAGTCCTGGTTCCACTCACTTGTGTGTGGCTCACTGTGCTCCTTCTTGCTTTAAATGACTCTTCATTCCTCTTACAGCCCTGCAAAGGGCAGAGTATGGCTGCACAGCTTGACATTGTAACAGATAAGCACTTATTCATTAGAGTGATTTACAGCCACTTATCCTCAACTACCTGGTTTTACATCCCTTTAAACATCTGAACTACTAGCCTTGAGTTTTTCTTATTTACTTATTTGTTTTTGATTTTAAAAAGTACCTGGCAGGTGCCCATGATGGCTTGTTTTATCTTAGCAAGGGGAAAATGAAGGGAAACAGCTACCAGCATCGCCCCATCAGGGAAGACTATGAGAAGCTGAGCTATATAGAAACCATGATATCACCA